GGTGTTGGAGAAGAGTGCTGAAGAACCCAGGGGCTGCCAAAAGAACAAACAGATATGTCTTGGAGAAAGTGCAGCCAGTGTGCTTCTTGGAGGAAATGCTGATGAGGTTTCATCTCACATACTTAGGGCATATTGCCAGAAGGGGCTATTCATTGCAGAGGGACATCATGCTTGGGAAGTTGGAGGGATGGCAAAAGAGAGGAAGACCCTCAACCAGGTGGGTTGGCATGGTGACTGCAGCAATGAGCTTGAGTGTATCACAGATTGTGAGGATGGCACAGGGCAGGAGAGTGTTCAGATCAGTTTTTCATAGGGTCATTATGAGTCATATGAGCAATCCTCTGAACACATCAAGGAAACACTGCATGGTTCAAAATCAGAAAAGGAGTGTGTCAGGGATGCATCCTGTCCCCATACCTTTTCAGTATATCTGCAGAAGAGATTATTGAGGAAGCTGGGCTTTATGAGGAGGAATGTGACATCAGGATTGAAGGAAGACTTATTAACAACCTACATTATGCCAATCACATAATCTTGCTTGCTGAAACTGAGAAGGGACCTGAAGCACTTCGTGCAGAAGGTCAATGACTGTAGTCTTCAATATGGATTGAAGCTCAACATCAAGAAGACAGAGATTCTCACCACTGGGCCAATTGGCAGAACCATATTAGATGGAGAAGAGCTTGAGGTTGTTAAAAATTGCAGCTTTCTTGGTTCCACATTCAATTCTCTTGGCACTAGCAGTCAGGAAATAAAAAGATGAATTATTGCTTTGGGAAAATGTGCTGTCAGGAACCTCTCCAGAGTACTGAGAAACAACGATATCAGTCTAGAGAAAAGTGTGCCTGATCCAGGCCATGGTATTTGCAGTTACTTGCTATGCATCAGAGAGCTGGACAATGACTAATGATGACAGAAGAAGAATCTATACCTTTGAATTGTGGTGCTGGAGAAGAGCCTTGAACATACCGTGGACCTCCTGAAAAACAAATAGGTCTGTCTTGGAAAGGATGAAACCAAGTTTTTCCTTGGAGGATAGGCTTTTGAAGCTCTGTCTTACATAGCTTGGGCATGTGACCAGGAGAGACCAGTCCTTGGAGAAGGACATCATGCTTGGAAGGGTGGAGGAAAAGCGCAGGAGAGGAAGCCCCCGGATGAGATGGATAGATGCAGTAATAGGGCAATGGGGGTAGGTATGTCAGAATTGGTGAGACTGGTTCAGGACAGGGCAGGCTTCAGAGCTGCTGTACATAGGGTTGCTTTGGGTTGCAGGCCACTCGATGGCACATAACAACAGCAACAACAACATGAGTTTTACTTGACTCAATGACTTCTTACAGTAACAGCTTCTACACTGTTTTCTTTTGTGAGTTTTGCTAGTGGAGTATCGATTTTGTTGACCGTTTCAAAGAACCAACTCCTAGTTTTGTTGATAGTTTCAATTGTTTTTCTGTTTTCGATTTCATTTATTTCTGCTCTTGTTTTTATAATTTCAGTTTTTTTAAAGGGTGTCGGGTTTTCTTGCTGTTCT